AACCCCTGAACCTGCTTCTGCCATGGTCTTGCGGTACCAGTCAAGGACAACTCCACCCCTGCACTGCCAAGGCCAGCACGCCAAACCGCGCTTGACCTCTCCTTCCCGCCTCCTCCACACCTGTCATTCTCACCTGCAAAACCTGCTGGGCCCAACCCTGTGACCCCGGGGCCAGCCCCGCCACCTTGCCAGGATGCTGGGGCGCTTCTAAGTGGCCTCCTGCTTCTGCCCAGGCCCCACACAGCCGTCCTCCTCCCAGCAGGTGGAGAATAAACGAGGTGGGTCATTCACAAGACATGGGAAACCCACACAAGAATCTTAGGAACTTTAATAATTTCAATTGCAGACAAAATAAAATACTCCATAATGGTCCTTAAAAGAATGCTGTTAAGATTAGTCCAAGAATGTTATATTTGTTTCTCCTCTTCTGACAGACGATAAAGTAGAAGCTAAATCTCTATTCTAACTAGAATTGAATTTCTCTCTCAAACTCCATGTAACAAAGATGAAAGAAAATAGAAACAGATGACGTTTCCACTGTTTTACTACATACGGATGTTTTGTAAAGTTACCATGTTCATTTTAAAAACCATCTGGGTTATACTTATTATGGAAACGATTTTTAAAAGGTTCTTTTCTTTTATTTTTAGATCAAACCATAAATAGGTAAAGAGTTAAATAAATTACAGATTAGCCATATAATGAAATACTCTGAAGGTTCTATTAGGTTATTAAGTATGAAATGCCCGATGTCCTTAAGTTTGTCAAACTAAGTTTGACAGTTGGTATCTCTCACATTTCATTTTGACACTTCTTGTTTTATGTTTATTGTGAAGGTACACCCTCAGTCTTTCGAACACACGTTTTAGTTTGTGATTATCTTCCAAAATTTTTTTAGTGCAATTTTTGTGAAACCATGCATAAGTAAAACAATTCATGTTATTTTCGAATATGAGTTCCATCGTGGAACCAATGCCGCGCAGCAAGCTCAAAATGTCAACGAAGTGTTTGGAAGGATGTGGCTACTGAATGCATAGTACGTCGATGGTCTGAGAAGTTACACCGTGGTGATGTTAATTTTGAAAATGAGCCACGTGGGCGACCTGAGACCAAGGTGGATAATGAGGAGCTGAAAGCTGTGGTGGAAGCGAATCCATCTCAACCTATGTGTGAATTAGCAGCAAGGTTTGACGTTACTATTCCAACAATATTGGACGATTTGAAACAAATCGACAAGGTGAAGAAGCTGGATAGATGGGTACTGCATGGATTAAAGGAGTGTCAGAAGAGAAATCTTCTCGAAGTTGCCTTTCTTTCCTGTCATGACATAAAGGGGAACCATTTCTACACCGTATTGTTACGTGTGATGAAAAATGGATTCTTTTTGACAAACACAAGTGTTTAGCACAATGGTTGGATAAAGATGAAGTGCCGAAACACAGTCCAAAACCGAACATTCATCAAAAAAAGCTAATGGTGTCTGTTTGGTGGTCCAGTGCTGGTGTTATCCACTACAGCTTCACGGAACTGGTCAATCGATTACAGGGGATGTCTACTGCAACCAGCTGGATGCAATGATGAGGATGCTTGCGATTAAGCAGCCAAGGTTGGTCAACAGAGACAGGCCAATCCTCCTTGCAAGACAACGCTCAACCACATGTCACACAAACAACGCTGCTCAAACTACAGAAGCTGGATTTGGAAACTCTGCCATCCACCATATTCACCAGACCTTGCACCAACTGACTACCACTTCTTCCAGGCTTGGACCACTTCTTGCAAGGAAAATATTCAATTCTCAACAAGCTGTGGAAAATGCCTTTTGTGATTTCA